ACACTGTTCTGATTTAAGTCACAAAACTTTCCTCTTTATTTATTTTCCATAAGTTGCAAATTGGAAGAAAAACCACAATCCCTTCCCACCCCCAAAAAAAAGGTCGTATTTACTGGTTTAGGCCAATACCAATTCCAAAAACCACTTATTTAACTCTGTTACTGAGCAGTTTTGTTGTCACAAAACTGACAGCCAAATCATGCCCAAATTTAGGTTTTCACAAAATCAAAGTAAGTTTCACATGAACATATGCGAATTTTGTTTCTTCATAAAGAAAAGATGATCAGTAAACTATATTGAGGATTTTGAGGCCTGCACATTTACCCTTGCATTTCAATAATAATAAGAAAGAAAGCATTGGAATACATCAAGGTTCTGGAAAAATAATTATTCTGGCAATGATTCATATGCATCTTGAAGAGATGCATATTTTTATACATGTAAATGTATAAAAATATTTTTAGTCACTTTCATATATATGTTCAAATGTGCATGTATAATCTTGTAAATAGTATAAGTAATGAGATTGTAATTAGTGATTAGGAATTTTATTTTCATATCATTTCCACTGTGATGTCAAATGTAGTTATTCAGAACTCCACTGTTTGAATAGTTGCAATATCTTAATAAAAGGCTTTATATGTTTTTGCCACTATGATCATAAAAGTCCCTGGCTGTTCCTTATGTTGCAACCTGACTTCCAGGAAATGGACTTAGTAGAAACCCTAATTTTACCTAGCAACATCAGTGTTAAGTGGATACCTTTAAGGAGCCTTGGACTCACTGGAAGACTCTTGAAATCAGTTTCTTTGAGCATCAGGGCAAACAGCTGTTCTTTTCATAATAATAGAAATGTAAAGAATATTTATTTCAAATTGTTTGAGGTTTCTGGAAAACAATATTTTCAAAATTATTTTGAAAACAAATTCCTAATTCTTAATTTGAAACAAATTTATTTCACTTGTGAAAGAGGAAGATCCTGCGTTCTCTGGTTTTTTGTGGTTGGGAGCACTTGTTTACAAGAGGAAAGTCTGTTAGGCACATCTATTTGTCTTCCTTCTCCTCTTTGTGTATCTTACCTCTCTGCAGTCCCAGTTTGCCACAACTGTTGACCTACAGATAGCAAGATCAATGTCACAATTATTTTAATCTATAGAAATCTACAAAAAGCTTACTAAGTGAATGTGTAGACTTTCCATTGCTTTTATAATTGCAAAACTATTTTTTTTTTCATAATAGGATACCTATGCTCACTGAAAAAAAAGGCACAATGATGTGTGTTGGCAAGGCTATCATATATAAAAGTTAAATACTGGAAGTGTTGAAGTATTTCTTTACCCCCAAATGTAAAAATGCCAGTAAAGGGGAAATGAGTACCTGTTTTACATGCACGACCTCTAGTTGACAGCATATTTTTAATCTCCTGTTTTGAATACAAATTCCAGATTGGTAGAGGTTCATATCAGTTGTTTAACTAAGTAGCATGGGTTGGATATAATGCTTAAATAGACACAAAGCTCATAAATTATTCACTTCTGCACAGGGGAATCTTCTATTTCCTTCTATTTTAAGAAATACTTTCCGCTATTTAACAGAGGAAAATTAACATAGATAAATTATGTGGCATGTGAGGAGGAGGGATATGCAAGAGGTAAATATAAAATATTGCTTAAAACCCAAAATGAAACACTTGGGTTAATTTTTTTAATTGTTTTTCTCTAATACAATCTAGGTCAGCTTGTAAATGGAAAATACCAAATAAAATGTTTCTGCATTTCTGATGAGAAATATTTTAATACCTTCAAAGGAACATATTCATGATATTTTAAAAGTTTCCTTTTCTTGGAATAATTCTTTAATTATTTCAATTCAAATTCATATTGCTTTGATCTTATGAAATTTATCTTTTTTCACAAATTAACTAGTGATAATTAAAAAGAAAAAGCCCTTCTTTTCTGTGGATAGGATCATCTGTCTCCATCTCATATATCAAATTGACTGATTATATTACTTAAAAACCTCTTTTAAAAAGCCTCTTTGTCTTTCCTAAAGTTTTGTAGTTTCTGTCTAATAATAGCAATAGTTACCTTCTCCGTCAGAGCATTTTGCTGATCAGGAAAGCAAAATTAATTATATGAATAGGATTCACTCACAGATGTAAATGCCACTGTGACAGGCCATCAGTAAATCTGAAAGGAAAGCAAATTCTCCATATGCTATTTTAATAATGTGCTTTTCCCTGGAGGGATGAGTATTACAATGTGAAGTGTTACAATAGGTTTATAGTAGAGATTAAAGCTTTCAGAAATATGGCAAAGAAAAATATTATAAAGAAGCTGCATATCAAAACTAATTTATCTCAAAACATTGAGGAAATAATGTATGTGTATAGACTTTTGTATTTCCAGCTGCAGATTGTAGCTAAGTCACTTTTCAGATACAGATCAACCAGAGAATAATAATAAAGTAAATTAGAACTGTAAAACAGATTTAGGCATTCATTTTTACTAATTGATGGGTGGTGTTTTAAAATCTACCCTGATGATCATCAGTCATTCTTTCACATTTCTACCACATTATTTGATTTCAGGAGACTAAAAAAATCTATTTTCTGAAAAATAAATTTCTTCTCCATGGTATGTAGAAGGCTGATACTACCAACTTCTCAAGTGAAGGAATTAATTGCCCAAATATCTTAATTTTAGACAAATGGGAAGTCATTAATATTAATGTAGTTCATGAAAAACTATGATGAAAGTAGACTAAACAACTCCGAGCTATGCACTCACTGTCTTAGGTTTTTGGAAAAAAAAAAGAAAATAAAGTTTATTCTTCAAAGGAAACCAAAGTTTCTTGATGGATATTCCTAAATAGATGTTTATTGTCGACCCGCTGAAAAATTTTGGTCAGGTCTGAGAGTGGTTTTGATGTTATGAATCCAGAAATATTTGTGACTTTGTTAAGATCCATCAATTCAGTGAAGCTAAGAGCACTTATGTCTTTATGATTATTAAATGGCAACGGAAGTCACTGAGAAATGTTAATATTCCGGGAAAATAGGTTATAAATTGCAAAAATATGCTGCTGAAAAATATGGAATGGAAGAATCCAATCATGTAACATTTATACCATTCAGTTTCCTTTTAATTTTGAGGTAAAACCTCTTTAAGGCAGTGAAGTACTTTCAAAAACCTAATTTCTAAACTTTACAATTTATATGCTTTATAAAATGTTTTGGAAGTTCTTTTTCTTCTGTTCTGTAGAGATCAGAAGTTCACAAACTACCTGAAAAACACTTGTGTATGTTGTTAAATAATTCATGATATTTAGATTCTTCCCTAGTACAAGGAACTGCAGAACCTTCTAATAAATTCTCCCTACAGAATGTCGGAAAAAAAAAAAAGAAAAAAAAGAAAGAAAATGGCCTAGTGCTAACAGAAATACATATCCTTCTGCTCCTCATATCTATATATATCCTATGTATGTTTTTTTGTATAGGTATCTACAAATGGTGTTTTCCTCTATCTGGACACCTGCTTTTATAGTTTCATTTTTCATCGCTGAATATCTAAATACTTCACTAAATACTTTCCTTTTTATTTCTTTCTTTCCTTCCTTTCCCTATTGAGTGTCAGTGACATGTAACAAACAGAAATGTTTCACAGGCACCATCTCAGTGACTTGCTTTGCATGCAAATGTGTCATTTTGGTTTCAAAATTATAATCCAGCACTATTCTGTGTACTTAAAAAAATGCAGTAGTTGAAATATATTGAAATTCTCTTGTTCCATTGCTTGACAGATGTTTCATCAGGCTTTTCTGCACCAAGTTTTTGGTTAAACTACTCTCTCCTTTATACATCCAGTACCTCATTGTATTTTTGGATGCATATGACTTAACACTTATAGTTTGTTCAAGAGGGAAATACAGTATTTTCTTCAAGCTACACAGTCTAGACATTTTTATCATTAGTATATTTCATCTTTAAAAAGCCTTTGTTCAGGTAAAGTGGAACTATGTCCAGACATTATATTACTGAGATATAAATAGACTAAAACTTTTTGTCTCCCTCCCTTACAGTGCTATGCAACAAGTCTACAACTCAACACAATCAGAATCTGAAATATTGTTTCCTAGTTCAATACAGTTTTCATCTACAGTTTTCATCTTTCATATTCAGCATATGAGTATGACTTCTACAAAATCTTTGCATCGATACTTCCCTTTTAAGAGAAACCTCTGCAATATGATGAGGTAGTGCAGCTAAAAATGTATTATAGTTCTGCATCAAGGTTGATGGAGGATCTTGACTGTAGGGTAGAGAGAAGTGGAAAGACTGACAGTAGAACAAAAGTAGCTTTGAGTAAAGATATTAAGACCCAGTGATATGTGTCTTAATCCTATTAAAACAGGGTTGTATGAGCATAATATTTTGCAGAACAGAAAAAGCGTCTAAAACCTCGCAGTAATAGTGACATAACATTTTCTTTTCATCTCTTCTTCATCTGTGATGCTGCTAAACATACCCAAAATATGAATAAGCCTGTGAAGACAAAGTCATTCTAACTACTTTTACATCATTATTTAAAACTTTTAAAATGTTTTGTTTTCTGTTTATTTAGTTAAACATTTGTAATCAGTCACTTAAGTAGACTTTTCTGTCATTACAGAAACAGAGATGTGGGGATTCTTAAGTACCTATATTTCAGTATTAGTATGAGTAAATTAGGTGCTAATGCCAGAAAGCATCACTAGGCAGATAAATTTATATCAGTATATTCTTAAATGCTACTTTAAATAGGAATAGATTTAAATGCATATCTAAGTTTTTCTTTCTCTGTGTCAAAAGAGGTAGTGAGAGAATCACACTTATAATCTGTTTTTACTTCTTTGCCTTTGAAAGTATGTAATATCTACATGTATGATGGGCTTTGAGCCTGAGAGTTTTTTGGTGTTTCAATTCAGTGCATTTTTTCTCAGTAATTCTTTATGTCTTTCAGACTTGAATCTCCTACTAGATCCTTGCTGATGGAAGCACCCAGGGGAGTGCAAGTCAGTGCAGCTGCAGGAGACTTAAAGGCTACCTGTAGGAAAGAACTGCATTTACAGTCCACAGAAGGGGAGGTAAGTTCAACCAGCAGAGAAATGTTCTACAGTTCTGCCCAGTGAAACACAAACAATGTGAGGAGCGTTTACTGAGCAGCAAGGTAAACATCACAAGAAGTGTACTGCATTTACCTCCATTAAAGTAATTTTGGTTTAGCTTGCTCAATTATTAATACTTACTTCCTTTCTACAAATATTTGAATCACTAAGTTTCATTCACACAGAAAAAAGGTTATTTAAATTAATATAGATCAGAATTATTTTTAATCTAAGATTCAAGGAAAAAGCTACCCAGATCTTCCATGGAGCAGAGTCAGCTAAGTAACATGGTAAAAAATTAATGTGGATGAATCTGACAAAATAAGAGAGAGAATTTTGGATTAATTTAGATGAATGTGTCATTAAACCATGTGATATGGTTTGAAGCTGGCTCCCTGCCAAGTCTCCAAACCTTACCACCAGAAGTCCCCCCCGTCCTCCCCCCCCAGATCTCAGGGAGAAGAGGAAGAAAAACAACCAGCTAAGAAAACCTGAAATGAGAGAGACAGCTAAAGTGATATATATAAATATATTTACACTTATGTTACAATTGAAATATATACAATTTAAAATATATACAATTTTCACAAGGGAAGGGGAAGGGGGAAGGGAAAGGGAACAAAACCAAAATATTATATATATATATATATATATATATATTTCCCAATCGGTAGCCCGAGACCTAGTAACTAAAGAGTTTGCAAAGAAAATATCCCACCACTCTCCTTGGGACAACCGAGAGTCGCTCTGGGACAATCGCCAGCAACCTCCGCCTCCCAAGGTCGACAAGGCCTCACCAGGCCTCGCTCCCCAACACAGCAGACTCAACAGCAGGGAACCTGCACCTCCAAGCCACCGGAAGGAAAGAGAGCGAAGACCTCTCCTCCTTTCTTCTTATAATCTGGTTTACGTAAAAATCGTAGGGAATACTGGGTAAATCTGGACCCTTCCTTGGTTACAAACTGGTCACCAAGGAAGGCCTAACCCAAACCACCACACCATGATTAAGAGGTTTAACAAATTTGTTTTACCCGTGGTTTATCTCCTTAAACTGTTACTATCTCTGTAAGAGAGACAGAGTACTTCAATGGTATGCTCACTGTCCTGTTTCATTACTCTCTTGTTTCAGTGGTCAGTGATCAACGATTGATACCAAAAAAGATTTTGGTATAGATTCTGTGTAAACCTGAGTGAACTCATGAAAATGGTTTAAAATTGGATCACTCATGGGTGGCAATCCATGTATTGCAGAAATATGTGGAAGTTCTTTTATCTTCAGACCTTAATATGATGTAATATTTAAAAAACAACACAAAACAAAACTTGTGGAAGGCTATTAAAGGCTCACAGATTTCTATTAGGTACTTTGGAGAAATAGCCAGATTTTCAAATTGTTCTCAGAGGGACTTGCCAGGTTACAGCATTTTTGGAAAACCAGTTGTTTAATGTAAATATCTAATTGGGAATGGAGCTCTTTGGAAATATTTTGCCTTTTATGTTTGCTTTTTGTATTTTCTACCAAATGTTTCCAGATACTTTACAAACTAACCAAATAAGCAAAACCAAATAAAACCAGCATTCACATCTGTGACAGTCCCCTGCAATGCATACTCTGGACAACAGCACAGGCAGGAACATTTTGGCCAATATACTGAATCAAAGGCCTACTTTGAAAACATATTTCTATTGATGCAAGTATCTGTCCTGTATAATTAAAACACTATGTTTTCCTAATTCAGAGCCTCAAATATTTATATACCACATGCTGCACCTTATTTCTGAGTTTCTCCAAAAGCCAACTCAACAGCTCTTTCCCCTTCTTTCATCTTTACTTACCACCTCTGTTACTATTTCTGAACATTGCTGAGATAGAAACAAGGCAATCTAATCCTCTTTTAACAGTAAATATTGTCCTCCCTCACCCTTGTCCTTTCTGTGGGTATTTTTATTGCAGGGTCTACAGCTTTCTTGTCTCATGAATTCCTATCTGGCCAAATCTAGTATGTTCCCTACATTTATTAACATAAATAATTAAATAATAAAATTAACATAAATTTTAAAACTAGAATGTATTTCTTTGTTCTCCATCTTATTGCCAGAGGGAAAAAGTAATACTTGAATGGAAATTACAATTAAACTGCACTTTATTGGAAAGGTAGTTTTGAAAATAATGTCACATGACCTCAGTTGGACTTTGAGGATGGGAACCCAAGAAAAGGTATAATGACTATATTAAGTGTTATTCAGAACTGAAATTCAATTCTGTATTAAATATTTTGTAGGAGAAAAATGGCAGTTCAAAGCAGACTTTGCTGAACTTCACATTAAAAATCATTATTTTCTCTATGTGCTAAGACTTCGCACATCTGTGATGAAAGCACATAGATGAAAGATTTATAATTATTAGAAAGCAAACTACCAACCTTTCCCCACTTTTTCCTAAAGAGCTGTTCTGTAAACATACATCTGACAAAGTTCAAAGTCTTGAATACTCGGAATTTCATTAAGATCTGAATGTAGCCTAAATCCGCAGAGAAATTCTATCCTGAGGTCTGACCAATGCCTTTATAGTCCACTGTTTTATCTCTTACACTGGAGAGGGTTAGAGGAAAATGCAGAAACACTTTGGAAGGCATATGATAGGTTCCACAGCATCAGCTGTTGTGCTAAGTTACCATGGACACATTAGGGAATTGCTGGACTAATTACAGCCTGGTGTGAGGAACCAGGGTAAATATCTGATGGATTAAATGTCTACACAGCAAAATATTGATTGTTTTCCTTGCTTACAGCCCACCAGATAAACCACAGGTTAGTAGACTGTATGAAAAAAAATCTGCAAAGGGTTTATCATCACTCATTTTTAAGGAAACACATTCTAAAACAACACAATACCTATGTTAAAAATAATCTTCATTTTAGCCTAAAAAATGTGTGCTTTGTCAGTCATGTTTCTTCCACAAATAAAATAATGTTGTCTTTCTGAATTGGATCTGTGAACCGGTTTTGTGATGACATTTTTGCACTAGAAAAAATGCAAGTTTTTCTGTATTATTATCATACTGGTTAATTTAAATTTATGTTTTTTAATGTTTGTAAACTTTTTCAAAAACTCATTAAAGAGATGTGAATTAATATTTTCTTACTATAACAAAGTTATTGCCCTATTATGCCAGAAAATAGCTATGTGGTATCTGGAATCAACCAGTTATAGCCATGTGACAGAACATTATGAATTTACTGTCTGTGAAACATAGATTTTCCTGTTATTTAGGAATATCTTCAGAATATTTTTAAGAACATAAATGTGTTTATGAAATACTTTTTCTCTAGCTTTATTTCTCATGCAATATAATATCTAGGCTCCCACATCACAAACGGAATGCCTCTGCAAGCATTCTGAATTCTGCTGTTTGATACATTTTCTTTTTGTTTGCTGCAGTATTATAATAATCCTTTTAGCCCTATTACGCATTATAATGCGTGATCCCAGATTGAATACTGGAGGCTGTAATTTAGATTCAGATTTTGCTGCCCTTTATAAAGCTCTTGAGCTGCACCCTTGTGAGTCAAGACATCAGCAGAATCCTTTGATTCAATTATAGCTTGGCATTTAATTGTGAACTATGTATTATTCTATAAATAAACTATAACCAATGGTTTAAAGCAGCAATCATTTACAAGGAACATGAAATCTGAAGGTCCAGGCTCTAGCTGGTTCTACTGGTTCACATAAGAAGAAAAACAGCACTTCTTGTCTGGAAATTCAGCACAATGACTGCTAGTTAACTACTTCTTCTTTCACGTAAAATCATAATGCAAAAGTACAGAGCAATTTTGAATTCTGTAGATACTAGAGTTTACTAGACATAAAAAATGTTAGAATTGAACCTGGAACATACTATTGTATAAAGATAACAAGATGAAAGGATTATTTGATGTTGTCCACTCGTTGGCCTAATAATTAATTGTAATGGTTTTGACCGTACAGAATCACAGAATTGGTCAGGGTGGAAGGTACCGCAGTGGTCGTCTGGTCCAACCTCCCTGCTCAAGCAGGGTCATCCTAGGGCATACTGCACAGGATTGTGTCCAGATGGTTCTTGAATATCTCCAGTGAAGGGGACCCCACAATCTCTCTGGTCGATCTGTTCCAGAGCTTAGTCACCTGCACAGTAAAGAGGTTCTTCCTCATGTTCAAGTGGAACTTCCAGTGCATCAGTTTCTGCCCATTGCCTCTTGTCCTGTTGCTTGGTACCACCAAGAAGAGCTTGGATCCACCTTCTCAGCACTGTCCCTTAAGATGCTTATAGGCATTGATGGTGTCCGCTATCAGTTGTCTCTTCTCAAGGCTGAACAGGCCCTGTTCCCTCAGCCTTTCCTCATAAGAGAGATGCTCCCATCCCTTAATCATCTTTGTTGCCCTTCTCTGGACCTGCTCCAGGAGCTCCATGTCTCTCTTGCTCTGAGGAGCCCAGAACTGGACACAACACTCTGGACATAGCCTCACTAGGGCTGAGTAGAGGGGCAGGATCATCTCCCTCGACTTGCAGGCAATGTCCTTCCTACTGCACCCCAGGATACCCTTGGCCTTCTTGTCCAAAAGGACATACTGCTCACTCATGAACAGATTGTTGTCCACCAGGACCCCCAGGTCCTTCTCCTCAGAGCTGCTTTCCAGCAGTTCAACCCCCAGCCTGTGCTGGTGCATGGGGTTATCCTACCCCAGGTGCAGGACCTTGCATTTACCTGTGTTAAATTTCAGCGGGTTCTTCTCTGCCTATCTCTCCAACTTGCTGAGGTCCTTCTGGATGGCTGTGCAGCGTTCTGGGGTATTGGCTGCATCAATCTCTGAAGCAGAAGACTCCTAACTGTCCTCAGCTCTTAGGAATCTTGAGCAGCTGCTATGTGCCTTTGCAATGAGCTTCTATGTAAGCTAGGCTCTGCACTTTCATTGCATCCCATTGACTAAGACAAAG